TCATGTTTAGCTTTTCTTCTTTCAATTACAGTTACCATGTAATCAGCTACGAGGTTTAATAACACTGGAATTAATGGGATGGGATATTTTCTTTTCCTGCACCAGCTTGTAATGGGATTATTTCTTTTTTTAATTACTTTCTTCCAATTTCGCCCACATACAAGTGTTGTTGAGCATTTATGTTGCGGATGATAATTCAAAAGTTGAATACCTATTTTATAGATTTAATAAGCGAGAAGAGGATTTTCCATCGTTGAGGGAGTACAATGATTACTTGGAGGAAGTAGAAGACATGAGTGAGTTTTCTTCTTCTTTTTTTTCCAGTGACTTTTAAGCATAGTTTTCAATTCAAGAGTTTATGTTGACCGAAAAAAAGTTTTTTTTCCTTACAGTATTTGACTTGGTTGCTGGAGTTGATGTCCCTGCTATTGAAGAAAAAATTGCAGAGTATCAAAAAGAAAATGCAGATCTAATATTGATTAATCAAGCTCGGAAGGTACTTTCAGGAATCCTTTTATTTTTACTTTTAAAACAACAATCCTATATGTGAAATCAGTACAAAATATCAGCATTTCAACAATATGTAGATAATTTTTGCTGGGATTTACTCAGGTGTAGTTTATCCTGATTAACAGGCTGAAGAATTGGCCTTAGCTATGGCAGCAAGCAAGGGGCCTCGTGCACAAACTGATAATACTGATGGGGTGAGAATATAACGAGTTCTTACTTTTATTTGGCACATCGTTTTTCTTTTTAACCTTTTGAAGACTCTTATTGTTTCTTCCAATTCTATTATCAAAATCATTTCTATTTGATTTTGTTTTTCGTTTTAGCTAGTTGTTTTTTTTTTTTTTTGTGGAAGTTAATCTATTTATACTGAGCTTCTGCCTTCTGATCCAGAAAATAGAAATTAGGAGCCTGTACGGATAGTTTAAATTGAGGATAGTTTTTGCTTCCTGTGTATGAAAGCTTTTTCCTCATATTTTTCATCTGTTTGTCTGACTGTACACATTTAATTAACTGTGTAAATTTGCTCCTCAAGTTGAGTCCTTGCATTTTTCCTTTTATGGTTATTGATAAATCCCTCAGGCAGTATGTAAATGATATCCCATAGGCAATTATGCATGCAATTATGATTTTATAGATGTGGATGTGTACAAAGATTGGACTTAAGGGAGGCATACCCAGTAGTTCAAAGGTGTCACGATAAGGATAATAATAGTAGTGAAGTAAATGTGCCATGCCAGGGATACCAGGTTTGCTAGCTCCGAATAGAGGGAGGGTGATAGAGCTTGTCTGTTTCTGAAACATAGCTTCTGTCATGAATGTAGAGGAACATCAAGGTGCACTTTACCCATAGAATCAAAATGGGGTGGTTGAATTGAAGCAGTTATGTTATGTGATTGAAATCTTTGCTTGTTTAAAGACATGCTAACTGAAATTAGCTGACTATTCTATGATATGGAGTTGGTTGTGTAGTGAGTTCATAAATTAGCATAGCTAAGATGTTATGATGGATGTGTGAAAACATAAGAAAGGATCAGTTTTAGAGTAAGTGCCTTTTGGAAGGTGAAGATGGCATCATTGGAGTACAAGTTGAGGGAGGCTTATGTGATTAGATTTGGCAATATCTGACATCAAGATTTGGCGGGATGCATCAGTGGGAAAGAGTGATTGGTTAAAGTAGTGGGAAAGGGGAGCCGGATAGGAGAAGTAGGTAAAGTATAACATTGATGAAAGAGCTAAAGAAGAATGTAGCTTCACAATAGCCTACAGACCTATAATACATAGCTGCACTAATCGGAGGAGGTAGAAGATCAATGTGACTGACCAAATTAGTTTGGAATTTTAGTGGATCCGAGTACACGGATTTTTCAACCATAATTATGAAAGGTGCTCCTACAATAACTACTCTTCAAAGTTGTTACTCCTACATCTCTACTTCAACTTGCTGCTTTGTGCTGTAAGAGGTTGATGTGGTAGGATTTCATTTCATTGGATTTTGAATCCAGTTTGAATTAATTATTAAACTCCATGGTACTATTTAGATTTTAACTATATAGCAATGAATAGTGTGTGAAATCTTTAATCTTAGATGAAACCAGTAGTGAGTGCTGAAAAAAATAAAGGTTGGCTTGATCTATATCTTTTTAAATTAATTGTCTGGGAAAATAAAAGAGAAAGAAAATTAGTGTGATAAAATCCAGTTGATTCTAGGACAAACTAGTTTTAATCCAGTTGATTTGTTTTCTAACTTCTACTAGAAAGGATACCATTTTAATGATTCACAGAACTTTCATTGTTCTTAATTGACTCTATTCTTTTCTGGTCAAAAACACTATTTGCATATATAATATCTTAATAAATCTCTGTAGGAGAGGATGCTATCAGCTTATGTCCCCTGAATTGATATCCTTTTAGGAGTGTAGACTTATAACTTAAAGTTGTAGAAGTGCAATCCAACATTGCTAAAATCTTGAATAAGTAATTGTATTGATGATTGGCAAAAGCAGTGTGATTTTCTTGAGATAAAAATAAATTTACCTTGGTTTTTGTTTGGCAATTAGGATGAAAAGTTAGTCACGTTGAACTGCAGAAGTAATTAACCTTTTTAAAGGTTGAATTCAGACCTGGAAAAAGCTTGTTTATTATCTCAAATCATACTTTGTTACTCCTTGGAATGTCTATCTCACCCCCTCACTCCTGATCAATTCAATTGTGTATTTGTTGAACCAGAGCTCCCAGGGAGGCATCATCAGTGTTGAAGCTGGGCAGTATGCACCTACAATTGCTGGAGGGCAGCCTCGGCCAATAGGCATCGCTCCTCAACCAGTGCCTCTCAGAGGAGGGCCAGACATGCATGGATATGCAGAGGATGAGGAAACAATGAGGATCCGAACAGAGAGGGCGAGTAGCGCCGCTGGGTGGAGCATAGAGTTCAGCAAGAAAAGGGCATTTGAGGAAGCCTTTGCAAGCATTTGCGTGTAGATTGTACCACGTGACCATCCTTTGCCAAGCTGCGGTGCTTTCACTGACACTAGCCTGTTGCGCACGTTATGAGGTGGATTGTTAGTTTTCCCCTGCAAGTACATCTTTGTTAAAGCAGGTTTTGGAGGCATTCTGCATGGATTTTATGGTGTAAATTATTCTGCAATTAGGGTTGTCAGTGGAGATGGTATTAGATTCTCCTAGTCAATTCTCAGTGGCTTTAGAAGCTTAATTGCCCAATACAAGAGTTACCCTATTCTTAATTTGTTTGTTTTTTGCTTTTTTAAAATGCTTTTGAAAACATTATTTTTTTTTATTTAAAATTAATATTTTTCAGGGTTTTCAAATTATTTTAATGTTCTAGTATTAAAAATAATGTTTAAAAATAAATAAAATTTTATTTTAATATATTTTTTAAAAAATAATATTTTAAAAAGCAATCATTTCCATATTCTTAAACATCCTTTTAACTGCCTAACCTAATATGTGAGAAATGCCTACCAATCCATCTTTTATATCTGCTCATTAAAAATGAAATCCATCACGGCCTTCAAATCTTCGAGGGGAAAACCAGCTCCTCCATCCTCTAATCTTTGCTATCTCCAGTTTGGGTCATATCACTGGTCGCTCAAGCACTCTACTTCGCAGCTGAATTTCTTCAACCAATTTCTGTTCTAGTCGATAAAAGATCTTATAATCTATGAACTAGCTTTTTCTTCGACAATTATGTTTGCAGAAGGCACGGTTTACTGTTGCTGGAATTCATAGCAAAATGAATGCACTGGTGTCTGACTTATTTGTCATAACTTCTGGGTTTGTTTTTAAATGTTTTTTATTTGAAAAAAATATTAAACTAATATTAATTAATGCTTTTCAATAATTTTAATATACTAAATATTAAAATAAAAAATTATTTTAAAAAATATTCTACACGCTGCTGCTTCCTCACACCATTTATGTACCCCCGGAGACTTGGAATATTTCAATATTGATGACTACATTTGTAATTATATAATAAGGTGTTTCTCCAATCTGTTTTTTATTTTTAATTTATTCATTTTTATATTTGTATAAAGTTCAAGTATATAATCTAATTTTTTAATGAGTTTTTTCTTACGATTGCCCGAGTGTGACCTTTTCTCTCTCCCGAACATGCCCTTATCAAAGCTAATGAGTAAATGACTTAATCTATCCTCGGATAATTAATCAAGTCTCTAATATGTTGTAATGTTTCTAATTGAGTGTTGTATAATATTAAATCTCCCAATATACCCCTCTCTCAAAATTATATTTTTCATTTAAAAAATGCTCCAGAGGTATACAATAATATAATTTTAATTTTTCAAGAATATATTCTTAAAAATCTCAATGGTTGAGTAATTTTAAAAATCCTAATTTCTTGAAACGTTTTAAGCAATTCTATGTAATTTTTCTATCATATCCTTACATTACTAAAGGTTATTTCAGAAACTTGTTGATTCTTAACATCATTAATTAGCTTCTTGTTTGTTTATCAGTGATTTGTTTTGATCTTTCATGTAAAGCAGAGTTTAATGTCAATGTTCATATGATACATGAAAATAGCAATCTGGGTTTCCTCTGTTTTTCATGTGCATGCATCTCCTATAGAAAAACTTGTCTCCTGGCTTTCTTAACCAAACCTGTCACCAAAGTATTCGTCTCTCCTCCGGCTGCAAGTGCTGTGGAGCATTTTCTAGTTTTGAATGCGTGGCCTTGTTGAATTTCAGTTGTCTACCTCGTCTCCTTGTTTTTTTTCACAAATGGTAAAATCCGGTAAGCAATTTGTACGAAATATCAGCATTGAAACTGCCAGTAGAATAAGAACTCTATTGAAACCACACTATCTTGATTCACAATGTTACAGCTGCAAAACGAAGAACTGGTTGTCCTTAAAATTCAATAAGAGCACAATCATATACAATAAGAACTCAGAGCACAATCACATGTAATAAGAAGAAACAAGAACAATCCATCCACATGAGAGCTAACAATGTGCACCAATGAAATTTCCTTCCATTCCATTATGTAGAAGACTTTTACATGGTTTGCCAATTGGCATATGAAAAGTACATTTAGCATGGCCCCGCTATGTAGCAGGATCTTCTCTCCTATGCTTGTATATGTACAGATGAAATGGTACATGATGAGAAAAAAAGAATAAGCAAAATAAGATTTACTTGATCTTACAACAATCAAGTAGCCTTGTTTCTCGTGATCTGCTCACAGCACAAGAAAAAAAATGCAGCAAGCACTAAGCATACTTGTTGTACGCCTTTGCTAGAATGATCGATCCATATCATGCAGCTCTCAAAGATTAGTCTCCCCAAATTAACCATAGAATAGGAATCTGAAGCTCTTTTAATCCAACCATATCAAGAGCTTCCTTCTTCGTGTACACGAAGGAGCCAGCTGGAGGGTTCATCCTCTGCACTAGAAATGGCCTTCCTGAGCTGATCATAACTAAGTGCAAGGACTGTTTCTAGGGGAAAAATCTTTGATTTCAGGATAACAAACTCACCAATGGCCACAGAATTCTCTTTGCCGCTTCTACTTCAAATTTTCAGTTTAATTCTGCACAATATGCCTGGAAAACTTGACAACTTCATGGTCAAAAGTAGCAAAATGCAAAGCTTCCGATTTACATTTGATGAAGATTCAGTTGAAGAAGTATGGAGATCTAAGAACTTTTTGCAAATCAAAGTTGCCTCTCTCAGGCAGAGGTGGAAACTTCAATGTTGGGTACGAGGTCTGGAAGTCTTCAAGTAACTGGGGGTGATCCAAGTCATCATATAGGTCAGCAACATTTATTAATAAAAATAAAAAAGAAGAAATATCATAATTGAGTTAATTTATATTTGAAAAACAAAAAGGCGACAGTAATGCCAAGCAGTTATCCCTGGCTACTGGGAAAAGCTGGAAGAAGCCACTTAATAGACTGGGGCATTCATAAGCTATTCTTTCCTTTCCTTTTTGTTATTGTTCCTTTTTTTTTTAAAGATCAAATTGGTGTTTATTTCTATAAAAGGCCAAGAAAAAAGCCCCCCAAAATTACTTGTTAGGCAGACTCGGTAATTTATAGTTCCCTTTGAAGACAACGACAAATGCTCACTTAATAGGTCAAGCTGGTCAGACAGAAAAACTGGGTCATCACACACCATTGCACTCACATTTTCAAGTATTGGCATGTTATAAAGCTCCACAAATTTCTCGCGCAATATCCTATTCATCAAATCCACATCTCTTGCATGGGTCCAGAAAGAGTCATGAACACCTGAAAGGAGATTCACTTCAGAAGAATGGGATGACCTCAGAAAAATTATGATGATAGATGGAAACCACTTCATGATAAAATTAACTATGATACACATTACTGTCTGTACTTGAATAACACTTCCAGTTTCTCAACATGAGTTATTTGGAGTACTTATTACATCATTTGAAACTGCACAACTATGGCGAAAAAAGTAAACATTTCTCATCCCCAATGCCTCAGGACATTTATGTGCAAGTCAAAAAAGATGAATAATAGCACTTCAAATAGGTTTTAGTTATGGATAAATATACATGATTTTTGGATAATACAATGACTTGCACTAAGACACTAATGGTACCAGCACGCAATAAGTTCAGAGGAAATCAAAATTCAAGGGCAGAAAGGATGACAAGCAAGGTAACTGAAGAACAAGGTATATCATAGTAGCAGAAAAGTCACAAAAAGTTAGCATTTGCAAAACAAGCTCCAATGAATAACTGGTATTGATGCTGGCATGCTGTAGGTTCAGGGAGCATTTAAAGGGTTCTCAAAAAAAGAAAGAAAGAAAGAAAGATAATGGGTCTTTAGGGCTAAACAGGTTTAGTTACGGAGATATAAAAAATTCAGCATCATTTTTAATTGTTCAGAGTGGCATCAAAGTTATTAGAATAAAAGACGAGTCCTCATCAAAATCAACCCAAAAGGTACATTCTAATAAGCTTAAATTAGAATCTTTAGAGAGCCTAATAGGCAAAATAAAATAAATGGCTCAAGTGTCTGTCAAGTTCAAGCCAGCCAAAGCTTCAATTATCATAAAGCAGTAGAATATTAATTCCTACCACGTTTTGTTTGCTTCAAACAGAACAAATTGAAACTTGCCTAAAATGTGAGCCCAACTATAAAAAGTAATGATGTAAATAATAGCTGTACTGGGACTCTTTTGAAAAGAAATTCTTCAAAGACATAAAAGGCTTCTAATCTTCTACACCATGTCAATAAGTTAGATCCAGTCTATTACTAGGTTTGAGCTTCATGTACTAAAGAATGCAAGGCAAACCTGCAAAACATAAACCAGCATCCCTGCATGCAACTGCAGTCATCATCATGTGTGAGCCGTCAAGCGAGTGCACAAAATTTGGAGGGAAAGCAGTTCTCTGTTTTCTAACCTGTACCTGATATTGATCGTATAATATTGTTTTTATGTGAGTGAATGAAATGTCAGAAAGGAAAGAAGAGCTGAAAGCAAGACAACAGAGTAAAGCTTACCGAACTGCCTTCCCGTTGCAGGGCCAAAATCTGAAGTGAAGTTTTTATCTGCAACACCAAATTAGTTACCTAACTGTTTCCATTTACTTAAAAGAAAGAAAGTGGGAAAGCAGAGGACATAAGTTTTATGCCAATCTTAGTGTAGGAGAAAAAACTAACATAATATCATGTCATTCATTTCTTGTGATATTTAATGTCATAGTCACATGGCAGGAGTTCACTACAAATGTTCTCTCGTGCTATAAGCAAGGATCCCAACAGAGTTTTCTTAAAGGATCTTTACTGTTACTCAAAAAAAATTTATCTACAGGAATATTTTGACAAACCATTTCATATTCCTCTACCAGCAATAAAGATTAAGCAAATGAACATTTTTAAAATTACAAACACCATGAAAGCAAGGAACCTGTCATACTGGTATATTATTAATCTATAGCAGCCTGCACCTAACAAATAAAAAATGTAGTAAAGATTTAATACTCACAAGATGCCGTTCTCTCTTATAGTAAGGCTGCACAACAGGAAGGCCAAGTGGAGTTGTCCACTGCACAGGTTGATCTTCTGAAGCAATAATCTATAATAGGTTCATGGTCAAGCAATAAAATGAATTTTAATAAAATGTTGCTATTAATAAAAATAAAGGTAGTCCATGTAATTTGATTCCCAAATGTGATGGAGCCATACCTTTGCGCAATCACCAAGCCAGCTCATTATATCACGAGCAGCTTGGAACAACTCTCCTAGTGCAGTCAATGTCACCTATGGAAGAGGTAGTGAGTAAATTTGAGAATGATTCCACTAACACAAGGATCTTCTCATAGTTTTAGGTGTGCCTAAAGTGGGATGATCATGTGATCCACAGCACAAATTAAAACATGACTAAAATACATCAGGATTAGAATATCTCACATTTGTTGAAATTATATTCTATCAACTTTTCATTGACATTTTCTAGAAATCAAGTGCAATTAATTTATCATATCCTAGAACAGCCATAATATGTCCTTATAACTAGGCTGGATGCTCACTTTAGCAGTATAACAGGCTGCGCTGAAGAGCAGTCTATCATCCGTAATATGACCCTTCTCCTCTAATCTTCTTTTTATCTGTTCACGTGCCCCAACATAAGTGACACCATACACTGAAGTCATCACTGTTTGTTTAACCAATTTCCGATCCACCTGAAAAGCTTCCAAAATGTTAGACAAAAGAAGTTCAGAAGTAAATGATTGTTTTATTAAAAGACAAAATTGATAATCCATCAAGATTCATTATGAGTGAGGATGACTTACCTCCATCAAGCTTCATTATGTGGGAGGATGGCTTATTCTCCATCAAGCTTTAGTAGTTATTTAAAAATATTGATAATTCAAACATCAGAGCAGGAAAAGAAAGAATGACCTGATCAACTAGGATCTTGGCTAGTAAAGCGTGTGGGTTTGTAGCTGGATCCTTGTTGCTGTCTCTTCTAATTATTTCATGGACCCTGTCAGCAAAAATCCTTTCAGTCTCATTTCACCCAATAATAAATATCAAATGCACATTCGAATCGTGCAATAAAGACACATGCACAGTCATGCAGAATCATATTCATGGTAGACAACATGTCAACATCCTGTAGAGGAAATTAGAATACCTAACAGCAATTTCTGAATAAACATCTGAAGGTTTCTCTGCAGCAACTAAGTTAACTGCCGCTGCTTCCAGCTGGAGAACACCAGAAGAAGTGAATGCATAACTTCAGTTCAAATGAGCCAGAGATGTGGAAGATAGTTATGTTCAAAATGCAAGAGAATAAACGGTGTATTAACCAGCATAAGAACATAACTCTATTTTGAACAATTCTGATTCCTAGCATCAGAGAACATAGTTGAAGTTTTACTATTTTGGAATTATTACAACCAAATTCACCAATGGATCATAAAGGGTTTTGGGAGGCCCAGGAGAAGCCTTTCATGTATTCATGGATGCAGTTTTGATCAATCAAGTTTAGGATAGCATGCTTTAAAATTACGAACGAATCTGCAGAATGATCAAGAAATAAACTTCAATTATGATTTTTTTTTTTCAGCAATCCACCTTTTCTTAAGGAGATGGGAGAAAAAGAGATGGTACAAAATTGCACAGCCAAGGTGGCTAAAAGAATTGGTGATGAGCAAAATGAGTACATGAGTAACATGTAAGAGCCAGGAATCACATAAAGTTTATTGCTCTACTTATTTTGTTTTTAAAGATATTGAAACCAGAAAGAGGTATTTTCAATCATTTTTTTAAAAAAGGGAGTAATAGGATAAACACGGTGCTTATAAGGAATTATGTCATGCTGCAAGAACAACATAGAGGTGATTTATGTGCTACATCCAAGCCTGTTTTCATGAAACATAAATGAATCTAAAGGGGTTAAGGGAGACCATGATTACTAAGATTTTTGAACGCTAAGTAGTGGTTATATAATCACAATCAGCTCAACAACTTTTTTTATAGGAAAAAAATACATAACAAGCAACTCAGAACTGAAATAAAACATGAGATTATGAAGTCAAATGCCACCCTAATACTTTCATTTCCTTCAAAAATCAACCCAAATGATGTCATATTACCCAGACACTGGTGTCTTTTTTTGGCTGAAAACAACATCATTTTGGTTGAATCATGCACAAAATAAAAATTACAAGAGTGACATTTCAACCAAATAATACTTTTGAGTTTTTCTGTTGTTTTCTCTCTCTTTTTTTCTATGATGATGCAAAAAAAAAAAACAGAGCAAAACAAAGAAAGAAAGAGAAATGAAAACAAATCCAGAGTGAACAGTGTCATTAATGAATTGTTCCATGAAAAAAATGAAATAGTAAACCTACACTGTCTCTTCCCAAGGCTGCATAGTGCTGGAGACCATTACACGAACCATCCTATAATGAAACGAGAAGAGGTGCAGGAGGGGGTTGCATTAGCATGTTATTTTCAGAAGGAGAACTGAAAAACAATACTGTACCCAGATGCTTTAAATCAAAAGATGCAACACGCATGAGATATAATATATAAGAAAAAACCAATCAGAGAGTTCTTAAATAAGAGAATTAACCATGGTAACATTCATGCGAAATATTTTCTATCTAGAACAAGAAGCAGCAGGGAGGAAACGAAACCAGAAATAGTACAAGACACCAGAAATAGCACAAGACATAAGGAGATGAAAGAAACAAAACTCAAGAAGTGTGGCTTTGCTAATTATCAACTAAAAGAACTTCAGTGGAAACTATTGAAATATTACAATGTAAAGGGTTCTGCACACGTGTGGCATTTTGCATAGTAGTTCAAACTTCTTTTTACATACAAATTCTGCCACGTTGAAATGGTAGATCAATCATGCAAAATATACACTTTCATCCTAATTGAAAATGGTAGATCAATCATGCAAAGTATACACTTTCATCCTAAACACATGAAAACAAAATTGAAGGATGATTCATGCCTTGTGATAGAAGTGGCAGATTTCATCTAAATTTACTTTATTATAATTGAAAATATTTTCAGGTGACAACTAAGGTCTCTGCTACAACCTTCAAAATTCAGGAATAGTTTGACTAGGAGAGCTGGATTCAAAAGGTAATGGCACCAGCAGTCTCTGTCAGATAATTTTTACCTGTTTATTTGCATTTTTGCCACAATCATTGAAAGGAAATGCATCCTTGAAAAAAATGTTTATAGCAGCAAATTTCTTTTCTGTCACAACCATGCTTATTGTGAAGCATTTACCTGATGGATTGGCAGGTGGGAGATGACAGTATGTGGTGATGCACTATTCAAGGCTTCTGACAGATTAATACAAGCAGCCAAGCACTGGAAAGGATCTTCGGCTTTTAACCACCAACGTTTTCCATTTACAGGGTTTTTTGCTGAATCAAATATCTCACTTAGATGGTTCTCAACAAATGCTAGACGGCCATCATGGGACAACTTTTCAACCCCGCCTGAATACAAGTTTGCTAGATGTATTTTCAACCAACGTAATCCAGACTTCCCTAACGGCCTTCCTTCTTCAAATTCAAGAACTCCTCGACAAAGATCAGAACTTAGATGAGTCAAATGTGGGTGCATCGGATATGCACGACCTCGAAAATCAAGATTGTGAGGATAATAAAATCCCTCTTCATCTTTCAGTTTCCGAGCCACCTGCATAAGCCATGGTTGTGGAATGAAAGGTAAAGCATTGATAGGCAAGACATGCAAAATCAAAATTTATCTAGTTACTTGAGCTTTAAGTGAATATGAAGTCAAAAAATAACTTATTGTGATAGATATAGAGATTGTCAATTAATACAATCTTGACTGTGTTAGCATAAGAACTTGCAAGCATTCATGCATACGAATGAATCAATTTAATCATCTACTCAATGTTGCAGCATACTGCAATCAGACATCTTGTCAATTTAAAACTAAGGAAGTAGATCTTACAGAAAGCTTAAGTTCAGTGTCACATCTTTGAGAGTGCCTCTCTTGATTTATCTTCTTTGCCTTCCTCACACTCCATTTCCACTTTTGAATTTCTGTTAGATCATCTGAGGATGGTTTCTCTGGTATAGGAATCTGAAACCCAATGTAGTATGAAATCAAAAACATCTCAAGTTGTTTAAATGGTGAACTGACAACATAAAAAATTAACAGATTGGAGAAATTTTGTCATTGTAATTGACTAGAGGACTATTTGCTCGTGGCAGTATATACAAACACCAAGATTCTAACTGCATGATAGATAATTTCACTAAAAATATGTGTTCTATGAGATTTCAAGGATCAAATCAAATTAGCATGGTTTTCACAACAAACAGGAAGCTATCAAAATGCTTGCATAAAGCCATACTGTATGTTCTAACATTTCAAATGATCCCATTGCCCATGCAACTAACACAACAAACTATTCACAGGAAATTGTTGCCGAGAAAGTTCAGGTTCTTCTCACATCTTCTCTATCAACCAGGCCCGCAATGTTGCCACCACTTGTCCATATCCTCTCCACCACATCCAGCAATCTTCTGTTCACCCTCCATTTGGTATTTCCGAGTGTATCCAGAGCCTGTTTATATGACATCAGACCAAAATCAAGTCATATTTCAACTTCATGATGGAAAACAATAGCCATGGCTTGATTGAAAAGTAGCAACATGATCACACCATTACTATTAGACAAGGAATCTAAAGCAGCAAACTTCAGACCCAGGCATAAATTTTGGTTTATTGGCAAGATTAAATGTCATCTTTTAGCATAGGAAGCATTTTTATAAGAACACTTCCCATACCACAAAAAAAAAAAAAAAAAACAATTGCCACGCTTTAGGTTTAATGGTCTTAATATTTGGATGAAGGTGATGTGCATAATTATCGTAAAAATATTAGAATAACCCATACTATCAAATTATTGCTTGTGCACATATCAGTCCTAGGACCATTAATTTAAATCAATTAGATTTTAGTTTTATTTAATGATACCACATAATATTTCACTATCCTGTTGATCTGATATATAATTAAACTTTTTTATTCAGTATTTTTGTTATCATCATGAAGCAGGGCAGGGGTGTCCACTTGGAGAATGCCTGAAACCTGGCAGCTGCTCCACGATTACTGCACCAGTTCTACCAGCCGAGCCAGCCCTTTTCTTTATTTCTATGCAAGAGGAGAAACAGAAGAAGAAGAAGAACTCACCTCAAATACTTTCTGCATCTGTTTCCCAGGAACACTCCTGACTGCAACTTGTTGCTGCCTAGATCCATGAGTGCGCATGATATACGAAGGCAAGAACAGGTGCCCACCCTTATCATACCTGCAAGGATTTATGATATAAATTGACAATAAAACTTCCAAAGTGCTTCAAAATAACAGAAAACATTCTGGTTGGCCATGTGCAGTCCATATTTACATTATTTTTCAAAAGGAAAAAATCAGCTGGGTAAAGCATGCCAGGGTCAGTCAAGATTCTATACTTTCATTTTTTTAAGCTTTAACTTAAAACAAAATCTCTGGACCTTTGCAGCCTCTCATAAAAAGGTAACAACGATCTTTCTAAGAAAGAGCACGTGATATCTACATTATCTATCCTTTGTGCTTCATACATACCCTTTCCATTTTTTGGGAGGCACCAGCATTGGAAAATAAGGAATCAGCATGTGCTTAGCCTGCACCAGGACAGAGATGCCATATATTAGCAGAGCATCCAAAGGCCAAAAGTCACAATTTGACATGCATTTAATAGCTCCAATATGTGCACCCGTTCCCCAAATTCATAGTGGATTACAAGTATGACATGTTCTTAGTGGAGTCAAAATAAAGATTTGAAAACAGTCATGCCAGATCTATGCACCAAGTAAACGATAAGTTATACCATCAGAAACCAATTTCCTTATCTTCTGAAGGACTAATAAAAAGCTTGAGATGTCAAATGTACTATGGTAAGATCCTTTGGAAGCATTTGCTGACTTTATGATACGAAAAACGAGAAGTATGGAAAAGGATAATTGAAATGCATTAACTTTGTTTAAAATTATTTGGGTGGATTCAATGGGTAGGCAACTTCAGAACAACTTAGTAATGGAAATTAAACTTAAGTGTACTAAAATCCTCAAATTCAGAATGAGAAGGATGTTTTGTTTTGACTCACTGTTCCATCAAGCCCTGTGAGGATGAGGGGATCACATTCTATAACCCCATACTTCTTCACAATTTTCTGCCTACATGGATAAAAATGAGTCATGAAAAAAAATGGCACCAGGAGTGAAGCATTGGAAGTGAAAGCATATAAGCAACAAAAAAAAATCCACCATTCACCCTCCCTAAGAAACTTATGGACCAATAACAACCATAAAGCCATCTCTTGAGTAAAACCTATGGACAAATAATCAAACATAAAGCCATATCTTGAATGTCAATGGCCAAACAGAAATCAAGATGAGGAACCTAGGAATCACATACTGGCCAACGCTCACTTACGCAACCAATTCCCTAAGAAGAACCCAAAAACTGAGATGTCTGAGAATGATCTGCTAGATGATTACCCATCTGCGTAGGGAGCACATGGAAAAAATGGCTTACAAAAGGCAATAGAAAATAAAGTCTCACCCTGGGTTCTTTGTTAAAGTTTTAAATATGTGCCTAAAGGCAGGTCGAACATCTGGTGGAATATCCTCTGACTGATTAACAGGAGGTTGCACATAAGCTGTTTCAGTTAATAATTCTATTAGACGACTTCCGAGCTGCAAAATTATACTGCACATTAGAAAGTAGAAGGGGGGGGAACAACAGACAGAAAGAAGAATGGGGAAACCCAAAAAGAAAAAAATTTAATAAAAAAATATAATCAAAACTTAAATCGATGAAGGGGCACAGCTAGCCATTTCAGAAAGAAATGGCGATGGCTACAAACCTTAGCTTGTGTGCCTCGACTCCAAGGTTTAGTTTCATCCTGTTTCACCAGATTTTGCACCTCCATGAGCCTTTTCCTTCTAATCAAACTATTTACACGTTTCCTGAGCATCTCCTTCTCCTTGTCCATACTCTCTTGAACATCATGCATTGTCTTCTTCCTTTGGTGATTCTTGGTCTTCTCCAAGAAATTATGAATTCTAACCTGAGAAGAAAGAGACCTGGTAGCTCAATGGTAGAATTAAGTTATCAAGTTTGATGTTTTGCATAGATTTTGCATGATGATTTTTCATCTCATTATGGGTAGCTCAAATTAAGCCTGTTTTCAAGTCATATACGGGAGTTAGGGCCATAATCAACAGGTTGAGTTTCATACTTTTCAAGTTTGGTTTATCTACATTAAATCAAGCTAAAGCCTAACACGAACTTAGCATCAAGTTCAAGAACAATAATCAAGTTTTATTTGTACTCTTAATCAACTTTGAATCTGTCTATAGACATGGACTAAAGTATACACAATTATATCTCCTGTTGGCAGTATTATTCTTTCATCTATATACTAAATAACAGTAGCCTTTTGAATGTTGAAAGTCATTTCACTACTTTGGTGTTTCCTACACATATTCAAAAATACTGAGATACATTATTCAAACAGAATTTCCAAATACTAACTCGACAAGAGCACCAAATTCCCGCAACCAACAATACACTATATGCTAACCAACTACTCAGATTTAGCTAATTAATCATATACCCTCCAGCCTAAAATCGAGAATCACACAAATAATAATGTCAATTGCATCCCAATACTAAGTCTGAACTTCGAAACAAAAACAGCAACTGTTAACACTCACCTCCTGCTCTATAGCCATGCCAATCTGCACTGCAGCCTGGACAACCCGGACGCACCCATCTTCATGCCCCACCATCAACAACCCCATCATCTTATGCATAACAATGACTGCCATTTTATCAGCAGGTAACAATTCAATATTGGGAGAGAATGCCGACTTCTGCTTCTTGGATTTCTCCATTTTCTGCTCCTTCTCTATAGCCTCTTTCAATGGTTCAAACCACCCCAAGAGCAAACCTTTCACATAAGGCAAGTTAGGTGCCAACTTTCTCTCACACATTTCCCTCACCAACCCCCTATACTCATCAGCCATTCGCTCCCACGCTTCAGTCTCTTCCCTAATTTGCCGCCTCCTCAACAAATTATACTTCCTCTTCTCAATATCCTTGAACTCTACCTTCACCTTTTTATTGGCTATTTTATACACACCCTTCCAAAAATGAGCAGAAATCCAAGGTGGGTCTTGAATGAAAACCCTTTTCGAAGACTCTCCGTGCATAATTTGGTCAAATTTGATCAAAGTTTCAAGCTTTTGGTGGCTACAAATGGTGGGGATTTCAAAGTCTTCAAGGAGACGATCATGAGAAGAATCATGCAAAGGGTGAAATGGAAGTGATGGGTTTAGAAGAGGGAATTTGGAATTGAGAGGGAAAGAAGAGGAATAGATGGAAGAAGGATTGGAAAGAGAATGAGAAGTTGGGTTAGAGAGGAAATGGAGGTTTTTGTAGGGTTTATGGAACCTAGGATGTTTTGATGTTGTCCATGTTGGGTGTTGAATAGAGAAAGTGGTCGTGGAAGCCATTTTTGTTGTGGACAGAGAGTGGAGATAAGGGTAGGGGTGGAAGAGAAGACAGGACAAGACAGGAGAAAAGAGAAGAGAGCTGAACTGGGAAGGAAATCAATCAAACAAACCTCTCTAAAACCTTACTTGCTACCAGCCAAATCCACAGGAGGATATTTTTTTAGTGATGAAACACAGAGGCCTCCAAAAATCCAAATTTTGTGTTTGGAAACTTCAGATTAAACCTTACCGCAATATTAAATTATTAATACAGTCCAAAACAAATTAATTTATCTCTTAAGTCCTTCGATGTCTTAAGACATTCCTCAATAACTCTATTGGAGCCTTTTGTTACTGTTTTCTGTAGACTTTCCTAAGAACACACACCAATTTTTTGCAAGAAAATATATAAAAACATTAATAAAAAGATATAATTAAGAAATTTCTAAACCATAAGGATTCTAATTGACCAGAATAAATTGAAAATTGGGGTGATAGATTTGGTAAAATCTGAGATTTTACTCTCTTTTTTTTTGTGTTTTATAAAACCAACACAGAACATGCTACTAGGTAATTAGACTATTGATTCAATTACAATATAATTAATTAGATATAGGGTCAATAATATACTTTGCTATGTGTGAATCGTAGAACAAGGAGTGGCTGGGTTGTAAGGGTATGAATTATGAATATGGAAGAACCAAATTTGAACCCACAAGTCGCAAATTTTCCTTAATTTAAACATCTCCTAAGGCATGATTCTTATTACAAAAGGAATACCAATAATTATGAAGTAAGGTGTTATAACTTCTACTAGCTATACTTGGAAGCTTGATCAGAATAAATTCTTTTTTTTGTTAGTTAATATCTATAAATTTTAATTTTTTTTATATTTAATTATTATTTTTAATTAAAAATATGAGTCAACCTAAAATAAAACTCGATTAAAATTCATATAAAAAATCTATTTATTTAAAAAATTAGTCAAAATAAAATTATTTTATATAAAAAAAATTATAGATAAAAATTAATAAATATTATTTCTGAAGATATATCTTTTATACATCATAATCATAAAAATACAAAAATTCATTCTAAAATAAAGGATAATTTTAATTATTTTATTTTTATCTTTTTAACTAGTTATATTTATATTTATATTATTTTTATTTTTAGATAGTAATCATTTATTATCTAAATATAAGGGTTTTTTTATAAGAAAATCTTCTTAAGAAAATAAATCTTTTTATATGGTTAAAATAAGCTCCTTTTATTCGATTGAGAAAAGGTGAAAAGTCGCTGCACCTGCAGAGTAATCCCTCACGAGAAATCATTAGCCAAATGGGCCAAGGAGTCACTCATGGATCCTTGTTGCTCTTGTTCAAAATTGTGCCATTTGAACTGGGTCTTAATTATCGGAGCCCAGCTTTAATAAACTCTGGTTCTTTTAATGGTAAGCTTGAAACTAGGCCCAGAAAGGCAGCATGCACCATGCAGAGAAAATCAGTACGTAATTTGTCAAATCACATGACGAGTAATTAAATACTTTTTTGTTTTTTGTTTTAAAAATATTTTTTAAAAATTAATTTTATATCAAAAATAATTTTTAAAAATTAAAAAATATATTATTTTTATATATTTCTAAATAAAAAAATATTTTTAATAAATATTATAAGATTGTTTTTAAAAGTTGAGAATTATGATCGCATCAAGATAGAGCATGTTATTAAAAAATTAGTTTATATTAAATATAATTTAAAAATGATAAATGTTGATCTCACCAAAGGCATGAGTTGTAGATAATATTAATAAATACTTTTATAGGACGTATATAGTTATTAATATATAAAGACATAATATGTTTATTATATTATTTACACATCATTAGCATTTTCACACTTCATCATTTTATCATGAAAATGATCATTACGTACTAACATCATCAATCGGGTGACTAATATTATCAATATTATTTATATAATTCAGTTACATAATAATAATAATAATAATTACATAAATAAAACTTTTAGGGTTACCGTTATAGTTTTATTTATTGAAGAATGTGGAGGACAGGATAAACGTCGCTTTCAACAAGCTCAAGTGAGTGCACTCTGTGTATGAAACACCAGATTTGGCAACTCGTTTGTTCTAGTAAATTTCTCTATCATGCACAATGTCAAAAGCGATGGTGTATTGATTCAATTGAAATTAAAAAAAAATAAGGAAAAATATTAGTTTAAAATAAATATATAACTTATTATGATTTAAATTAGAGGTATATGGTATCTTTTGAGTACTCGTTCAAGTTAATTTTGTAATAGATTTTTATGTATATATGACATTTTGAGTGTTTGAGCGTTCCTTTATCCAGTCATGTAATTTTATATTATTTTTTATTCAAAATTTCAATATAAAAAGGGATTGAAGAGAGGATGTTCTATACAACAACTTGTATTACCTCATTAATTTGCCTTCTTCTCCTTTGTTTTTTCAGGTTTTTACTTCTTTTTTCTTCTCTTCTATAGCTCATATTCTAGAACTCTGTAACATTTGAGTTTTAATTATTTTTTTAGTTTGTAGACTTTTAAAAAAAGTACGGGCATACTTTAATAGTGTGTCTTAAAAACACTTTAAAAAAATTTAAATTATGTTTTTATTTTGAATTAATATAGTTTTGATATTTTTAAATTATTTTAATGTGTTGATCTCAAAAATAATTTTAAAAAAATAAAAAAAATATTATAGCATACTTTTCTAAATAAAAAATATTTTAAAAAATAACCACAACTACACTCTCAAAAACTCACTGCATCTTTTAAAAGTTGAGTTGTTTGAATTCAAGAAATTATTTACAAAAATTATTATTTATGTAGAGTAACGAGCATTTTGGTATTAAAAACAAATAATTTAATTTTTTATACGTCTAAGAATCTTCAACAAGTATATTATAGCATTTTGGTATTAAAAACAAATAATTTAATTTTTTATATGTCTAAGAGTCTTCAAGAAGTATATTATATCTTCTTAAATAGTTTATGTTTTAAGTATAATATTGTATTTTATAAAAATATGTTTCATTTAATTATAACTTTGAATATATTTTATTATAGGCTTATAATGCATGCTAAGAATTGTTTTAATTCTATTTTAAATTTAAATACCTTGCTTTGATTTATAAACTTATATACAATTTAATTTTTAGTTATTATATTAATAAGTGGTACTAAGTGTATCATCCTTCAATCTTGTGTAATTAAACGAAATAATCAATAGACAAATTTCCAAAAGTTAAAATGATCGATGATTGCAAATAATTGCTACTTAAATTAGTTCATAGTGGTTTGGTCGATGAGGAGATGCTATAATTCAGCGGTCTCCTATTTTACAAAACTCAACTTATTTGCAAATTTCCCGTCATCTTTTCATAGACAACAAACATATTATTAATCAATATATTTTTGAGCCCACCATCTGCATAGACAAGCAAGTAGGCATGCCTCCTAACCATCTAGATAGTGGCCAAGTGGTAAAGACTTGGGACCAAGAGGTTTATTCCCTCTGTGGTCTCAGATTCGAGTCCTTGGTTGCTCATATAATGGCCACTGGAGGCTTACATGGTCATTAATTTCAGGACCCGTGGAATTAGTCATGGTACACGCAAGCTGGCCCAGATATCCACATTAATCTAAAAAAAGAAGTAGGCATGCCTCCTGCACCATTGCAACAATTGCACCTCCTGAAGCTTGCTTTCGTTTTCGTAGGGGGTTGCTATATTTAGATTTAGATTAGACCTCCTGCAATACATGTATACTTGTATTCAAAATCAATCACTAAATTGTTAAGAACAAAGAAAAAACCCAAAAAATCTGGATTAAAATAATCAATCTCAGTCTGCCATGCTTAATGCGATGAAACTGAACGACAAAATATATATATTCAACGGCAGCCTCCTCCACCCTATCCTCTTTCACATTGCCATTGGCCTCAAATCAGAGCCTATTGCAGGAAAAAAGCAAACCCATCCATCTCTCTTGCTAAAAAGAATGAATGCAAAGATACCCTGAATTTTAATCGGCTAGGTTTTAGATTTATTTTTTAAAAATTATTAGTTTGAATCTTTCAAATTTTAAAATTATTAAAAATTTATATAATTATACATAAACTAATCTGGATATCCACTATGTTAATAATAATAAAAAAAAAGAATGAATGCAAAAGAGTGGGACGTCATGTTTTAGTTATCGACCCATCACATTTTAAAACATCAGCTAGGAACATAAACAAAAAGTTTTAAACATTAGCACTTTTATAGATATTTACGTTATATCTGCCAAAATCTCTAAACGTAAAAAAATAAAAAAAAGGACAAAACAAATTAAAAGCAGTATTTCCAGAAAAGATCCATGAGCTGGCATACAATGTTGTAATTCTCATATCTGTGTTCATGGAACTAGTATATGCTACCACCAAACATTAGTATTAATTAGCATGAAGCTCAGCTCCTGACATGTTTTAGATTCTTCATGGACATAGCATGGATCAATATTATCAGAGAATTGCCGACATCATAAGGTCAAGCCAACAAGTTCATAACTAAAATGGTGGAAGACTTGATCAAGAGTCTGCTGAAACAAATTGAATAACAGGGTCAAAATCTTCTCAGCTTTGAACCCCAGCAAGCTAAATTACGGAAAGGTGATTCTCTTATGGAAAAAAAATGATCATAAAGTTGTGGAAAACTGAGAAAGTATGACGAGTTAAAAAAAATATAATGCTGCAACTTGTTGGTTAAAGAAGCATTATAAGCACGCTCCATGGCATGCTACTGTTTTTGTTACATATTGCTCACAACACGTTTGAACATGCCCAGTAATGAAATCCCAGCTAGTTTAGCCAAATCTTAATCTATAAACGGGTAATGGGGATAGCATCATTGGTCGCCTTTGGCTCCTGTAACTTGCATTTTTTTTACATAGTTTATATGCAACTTGATCACTATGGGAGTTTATGAATAGATTAATGCCCTTAAACAGTGTTAGTACATTTTATCATACCATGTATCCGACAATTAGGCTTGTAGGCACTAGATTTTAATACAATAATCATTAGCAAAAGCATGAGTTAATTATAATTAATCCTGATCGCTTAAACATATTCTTCCTTTGTTGACATAA